AATATGAATTACTGAGACTATACTTGCGGAGCTTAGTCTGGTTGCCATTAAAAAAAAAAGAGACAGGACTCAATTTGGAAACTACAGAGGAATATCTTCACTTTCTGTTCCGGGAAAGATACTTGCTAGGATATTATCATATCGTCTTATCCCAACTGCCGAACAGAGACACAGTGTCTCTTTAGACCTAACCCAGGTACAGTTGACATGATTTTGAGTGCAAGACAAATGCAAGAGAAATCCAGAGAACAAAATCGCCCTCTATACATGGCCTTCATAGATTTAGTGAAAGCATTGGATTCGGTCAAGAGAGAACCTCTTTGGAAGAAGGAGTGGAAATCCTGAAATCCTGTAAAGACTAATTGATGGCGGCCGATTCAACCTAAGCAGCTACCGAGCTAAGACGGAAGTATTGACGATATCGATAATTGAACTTCAATATGGGGATGATAACGTCGTGATGGTCAATACAGAGGAAGATCTTCAGGCAATTACCAATGCATTCAACCGGGCACACACGAGAATCGGTATAGAGGTCAACGTTAACAACACCCAGATGCTGCACCAACCCGCACCGTGCACTAATCCCCAAGCCCCAAATATAGAACACTGCCCATACCTTGGGAGTGTGCTAGCGCAGAATTCGAGCGACTTCTAGAGAGAGTCGAAAACGAAATCAGGGATGTCAACAAAATCGCTACAAGGATGTTCTTAGGGATAGAGTTAGGTGGGAAGACGACGGAAAATGATAGGTCCTCATGGCGTCGAGTACTCCACGACGGACCACAAACTTTTGAATAACACCAACGCAGACACGATACCGAAACAAGGGACCGCAGGAAGGAGCGAGAGAACAGAAGAACAGACAATGCTGCCAGAGGTTGGGTTTGCCAAGACTGTGGAATAGTATAGTGTGCTGCTCGAGAATTGGTTTATATAGCCATTAGTACAATCGACGCTTAACGTTCGCCAACGGTTGTATTTTATATACTTTATTGAAGCCTATGATCACGTCCAGCAGTGGAAAAGAATTGGCTAGGGTGGTTAGCTGCTTTCCATTCTCGTCTATCAAGTTTCTAATTGCAGCTTTTTTTTGGTAATTCAGTGCTGAAGACATTTTCTTTATTCGGGGACATTTTCCACAGCTTCATGGTTGTGTAGTACTTCTATCTATTTCGACTCCTATTCTGATTCTTCCAGCTCTGCTTTCCTCAGTTTTTTTTTTTTATTAGTTTCTTTACAGTAGTACTTGTTCAGAGTTACGGCTGTCACTTTCTCGCGGTACAACAATACCGAGAACTGTATGTTCACTATCTGAAGGTTTGAAATGTCCAAAGATAAACTCCTCCCGCGGTTAAGGGTTAAGGATTCCCATTCCGCACTGAGAATGAATTATTGAATGTAATGTTAGATAAATTTAACCATAGGTACTTAACCAGTTCAAGAAAAGAAAACAAAGATGACAAATAGTCTAGAATATGAGTATACATTAGTTTAGTCTCATTATTTATTTGATGAATTTTTTAATTACGATTTGATTTAATAAATATATCTGTATGATTGATGTTGAGAATTTTGTATTCTTGTAGTATCCCCTTTCCAGATGAAACATTAAAGCTACTTTCTGACTTTGAGGATTTTTTACGGTAGGTACCTTTTTAAAAATATCAATCACTTTATTAATGTCAGGCGTTAGTGCTAAGGCAGCGAGCCCATTAATCATCATCATATCAAATTTATAAACTTTAAATGGGACCATTCGTTCGACCCAAACAAATAAGGCGAATAAGTATTTAAAACGCAGTTCGCCTATAGAGACCATAATATGGCGACATGCTAGGCACCAAATTTTGGTAATTTGAGCTTAGAATGGCGTAATTATGCGGCTTTTGATCAATTTAACGCGTAATGCTTCAATAATTAGAGTTTATTATACCGCGAGTCCATTAAATAGCCGTTACAAAGAACCAAATATGAATGGATAGCATCATGTTAACTAATGCAGAAGTAAGAAATAATTATCAGCTTTAAAATGTATTGTTATTATTGCGAGTTTAAATGTAAAAGGCTATTGGATGTGCCTAAAGCATAAGATAAATGTTTCTTCACTAAGCTTTTTTTACTAAGTAGAAGTAAGTTTACAACAATTCCATTCCCAAAAATTTTTGGAACAAGTAACAGCTTCTTTATTATAGACCCTGAGATAGGGCCTGTTTAGTGGAGTCATTTTTTTTTGTCTGGCATTTTGAGGGATGAATGTGACTAGTTAGCTGATGAGAATATAAGTGGTTTTAATGCCTGCCTCCTGTTCGAAATGTCCACAGAATGTTTCGCCGGAAAACTCGATTTCGAACTGTGATTACCGTCTGGCGATTTTTCAGCGTTATTTTCACAATAAAACCTTTCATTCTCTCGATTGCCAGACAAAAAGTAAACGCGGAAGGTTCTTTTCTTTTCTCTTGGAAGATGACACTCATCACCATTTTTTCAGCTATTGAAAAGCATCTGATATTTTTCATGGGTGAATTATCTATCAATGTCAATCTTTTATTTAAAAGCTAGAAAATTCGAGATCATTAAAAAAAAATTCTTCATGTAAATCAATTTTTTTCTTCAGCAAATTTTCGAACGGGAGGCTGGCATTAAAATCACCCATATTCTCATCAGCTTAGTAGCCACATTCAGCCCTCAAAATGCCAGACAAAAAAAAATGACTCCACTAAACAACCCCCATCTCACAGTCTATTAGTAAAATCGTGAAAATTGATACTGTTGCAAAAAATAAATCCTCTCGCTTATACGTGAATTTATCCAGCAGTGAGCAAATGAATATTTTATGAACGGCTCATTCAATACCCTTTTACCCAAGCATTAATTCAACCTGAAAATTAAAAAAATATATATATTTTCATTTTTAAACAACAAAACTATTTCACTACTACTACATTTCAGCAGTACTAGGGATATTAGTAAGCATTTAGCTTTGCAGACCGTGTCTGTGGGGGTGTATAATGGGTTTTGAGCGGATGTGGATGTGTTGAGTAGGGCGTGAATAATATATGACAGTGAAAAAATATACCTTTATTGCTAATTTGGGCTCTACCAACGAGTATCAATACCTTGAACGCTGGTTAAAGATTCCAATTTCCAGTCAACTGAAGTTTTGAATATAGAATTTTCACTTATATTCCACGGCAGCAAAGTACTCAGTAATATATCAAAACTGTAGTTAACTAAATAGTGGAACTGTTAACCCTAACTATTTATTTGACCTAAGAAATGTTTTCACGAGTCGATTATATTTGACTGATTGAGGTCAATCAATGCAAGTTGAATTATTTGCTGTTCAGAGTTTCCAATTTGAACAGATTGACAGCTTTTGTTTTAAAGGAAAGAGTTTGTAAGATAGATATAAAAGCCACAAATAATAATAATAATTGGACTTTTCATACCTACTGGTACACTTCTAATACCACGAAGTATATAGAATCATAGAAACTATAGAGATTCTTTATCGAAAACTCTAGAATCCTGAGCTGGAAGATGAATTAAAACCCAGCTTAGGGAGAGAAGAGTTAGAACTCACTCATAAAAAAACTATAGGCACTACGGAAACAACTGAAAAGAACAACAGCTCCGGGAGAAAATTAGCTCTCGGATGGGATGTTGGAAGGGAGATAGGAGAAGAAAGAATTCGAGAATTCTCAAAAACACAGAAGTAGTGACAATAAAAATGTAGAGAATTATATGCCCATGAGTTTGTCAAGCGGTGATCATATTGAGGGAAACATGTATGTATATTACTAGAAAGCGTTGAACTCTGTGTACAGAGTGTCACGGTTAGGAGAGCTAGGATAGATAAATGCCTAAAGAACTGCGTTTTTGTGGCATGAACGAGCTTTTTACCTACGCACCTCAGATGAACCTTAAAACTTAGAACATTACATAAGCACGTACTGAACAGGGCCATAGTACAGCGTTTATTAGGTAGCGACTAGAGTTCAAGTCTAAGGATAACGTCCACTTGGTATCAAAAGATGTTGTGACCGTACGTAGTAGAAGGAAATACACAATTCCTGAAACCATAGACAAATAACTACATTTGACGCAATTTTGAATTTGAAACTGTTATATAGTTTGTATTAACAATATTTCCGTATTCAACTTTTATTGATCAACTTCAACTAATACATAATAAGTCGTAAGAACAAATCTTAAGTTGCAAATCTAGAAATATTCTATGACACTATGTAAGTTCTTCTAAACATGCAATAATGGTATTTTATTCCACTACAATAGGGTAGTGGACAAGGTATAATTTCAATGAAATCGATGATCTATTGTTCATCTATGGAGTAAATAAAAAATATTCCTATTGAAAGAAATTTCAGAAAAAAATGCTAACTTTGTTTAAAACTATTGTAAAAGTACAGTTTTGGGATGCATTATTTAAACGAAAATATTTCGCGCCTTGATTCTACGTCATAGCTGCTGTATTTGAGTATGAAATGAATCAAACCTTCGTCCTATATTCGACACACACTTACTCATTAGTGCAAAAAAAGAGAGATATATCAGCGTCTGTCGGGCGCACCCTCAACTTAACCCCACTTTTCGAGAGATTTCCATTTGTCAATCAATGCGCACTGAGCTTATCTGCATCTTTTTCTAGCAGCATGTAAAATATAAGGACGCACTGACCGCGCTCTCGCTCACTTTTATTAATGTCGGAATGCCTTGACGCCATAAGACATAACAGCTATGACGTAATTTCTGGGCGGTAAATTATAGTGTTTGAAATAAGTACAAAGTTGTTTATTTTTTTTTAGGTATATTTTTGTTTTCTAAAATCAAAGAATCATCAGCTACTCTTTATTTTGTTATGGAGATTAATAAAAAAAATATTTCAAAAAATTGTCCACTACCCTATTTCGTTGGTGTTTGAAACCCAATAAGGACCTTAAAAAAAAGCAATCGGAGGGCTAAGGCAGTGTACTTACGTCCTGTGAGGGGGTGCATCAAAGTTGGGTGCGTGTTGGCTGAGTTAGCAGCTTGCTGTTTGGGCTTGCTAACCTTGGTGTTACTTTTAGCAAACTCCAGCCTGATGGTCTGTGGCATGTCGGGGTCAAACCGTACGCCCTGCTGCAAAATATTGCCCACAAAAGTGTGATATTTGGTGATACAAAAATTTGCTAAATTTTACTAATTATGAGGATTATCAATATACAAAGTGTAAAACCTACTATATGGTTATCTTAATACAATAAATATTTACAAAACAATTCTAAATTAATAAAACAACTTCATATCGAGGGCCAATAATTTTTTTATACAGCTGTTAGTTTCAGGTGTAAAATATGGTAAATCAATGAGATGAGCAATAAAAAGCGTATACCCAAGTAAGATTACTGCTGACTAAATTATTATCCAACCAATTTCCTATTGACGTAGATTATCCTATTAATTTATTCAAGTTTATGGCTTATAAAATATTTAACCCTTACAAATATGTAGCATGCTGGCACTTTCCCAGGGTTCATATTTATTCCTCTTACGTAAAACGATTTTTAGTGGTCTTGCATCGATCTGGTTTAATAATGATCAGGAACATTTTTAGAAATAAATAGGTGATGTCTTAGTAAATTTCCTCAAAGCTTTCGTAACTTCTCAAATTATGATACACATTTTGTATTTTTCCTATCATAATATTTTCAAAAACTAAAACCGCCTCGTTTATTTTTTTTTTTAAGCCAAAAGTTTCTAAAACCTGTAAATATTGAATATTTAATTATTCTATATTGGATTTAACCTATTGTAGACATAGATAAAAATATAGGTACAATTATTGTGTTCGTGGATCATTATTCCAATTCAAAATACCCCTATTTGTTTCAGCTTCTTTTATCTAACCAGCCTATCAGTAAATAACACAAGTTAAATGCATAAATCTCATTTTGTCCAAACCCATTTTTGCTTCGCGACCATTTTTCTAAATAAAATATATCATCCGTCGTTTTTTGTTTCGTTCTATATAGACTCATTGTTCCACTCCAACTCAAAAACGAAAGGTAAGAATATATTATTTATAAAAGGTTGAATCACAAGCTCCCAGCTGATGTTTGCTTTGCTATTGACTGAGAAGAGAACGACGCAATATATTTTGCACAAAGAAAAACAGAAAGCGAAAAAACATTTTACATGTGTAACAATATGAAATATTTAACGTTGGATGTAGAGACAAGATTGGAGATTCTTTGGGAGTTGATTGAATTGCGGGTTTCTTTGTTGGCCAGTCATAAAATATTTTCCTTTATTTTTTAAATCCTTGTCTTACCTAGGGAAAAATATAAGAAATTTATTTTATTTGGGCTCAAAGAAAATTTCTACAAGAGAAAAAAAATATGGATTGATATACTTGAAGGACATTTCATCGAAAAATGGCCAGAGCGTCAATTAACATAGATTTTTGTAAACAATAGACCCCGGCAAGTCTTATAATAGTTATTTGTTTTACTAGGCAGAAAAGTACAAGATTTAATGCCGCGGCTGGTGTTTCATAGTTGAGGCATAGCCGAGGCTAGGAAACCAGCCGACGCATTGAATCTACTTTTCTGCCATATAAAACATATAATTTTTCCTCCGAATGTTCAAATTCACACATGGACATCTTTTTTATATTTATTTCATTCATTATTATTATCCAAATAATTAAATTACTTTGACAATTGTCATTGTCACCATCAATTTCAAATACTTAATTGAGTGAAATTATTACCTGGAACGTTGTGACACTGTCACTTTTAATGCCTAGGCAGTAAAAATACAACTTTTGATCCTGTCAAGTGTCATTAAAAGGTCATTCGGAAAAAAAGAGTTTTGTGGGCCTAACCAGCTATGATGCGATGAAATAAGAAAAGCAACCACCACTATGGGCGATGTCAATGCAACCAAACAATCAGATTGAAACTAGGCTAGACAATTATGGGTATGGAACTAAACATCGCAGCGGAGAGTTGGAAAGTTATAAAAACCTTGAGAAACATCTACAGATGTTATATGAAAGGGATGAGCTCTTTAAAAAACTACTGACACAGAATTACAGTTTTTGCTGTCACTTCCTGGGGTAAAATAAGTGTGCCTATTGAGAATTTCTCTTACATATCCAGGATTCCCAAAAAAGAAAGAGAAAGGCAGCTGCGACAATTAAAGAAGTAATTCTGTTGTCTCAGTAGAATCTATGGGAAAAATAACCAAGAATACAGTTGAGAACGAACCTTAAGCTATGAAAGCAGAAGATCGAGATTCGAGGAGGGTTTAGGTCGGGGACATCGACTGTGGATTACCCGTTGTGTATAACAAAAGTGGTTGGAACAAAAAATTGCATTTGACCCAGAAGTACATCTAGTAGAGAACTAGTACAAGGCAACTTGTTTACTCTAGAAGCAATTAAAGAACTAGACCACAAGAACGAGGCGAAAGTGAAGATGATACAACGGCCGATCGAAGGATTTGAAATCGATAAGGGGCAAGGGTCTTTTATTTCTCCTACGCTTTTCAAGATACATATATCTGGAAAAACTATCTGGAATCAATAGGGAAAAGGTGATGTGAGAATATGGGCATACCAATAGAAAAAAGCACCCTGTACACCTTATGTTTTGCAATGGACCAAATGGCCAAATAGACTACGACGACTTAGAGTATCTGACAAGGAAACCGCGTATATGTGTGTTGGGGAGAATAAACAAGGATCAACAAGGTGTTTTATTTTTCTTGAGCTTTCCGAAGAGTTCATTCGCCCAGATTAATAATCCGCTGCTTAATATCATTTTATTAATAATAGGTTATGGGTCCAGATCGCTCAGAAAGGTCCTACCTAATACCCGGAAGGAACTACCGAATACCCGAAACTTCGCGTAGGTATTCGGTAGTTCGGGTTCGAGAAGTTAAAAAAAAGTTTTTTCATCGTGTCGAGGTCGCGTGTATACGTGCTTCTCACAACAGCCAAAATGGCCGTTAACTAACTAACGAGTGTGCCAAATTTGTTACGACGCCGACGTGAGAATTACGATGACTGGTCTGTTGCAGTTGAGAATGTGTTTGTGCTTGAGGGCGTAGTCAAGCCAAGGCCAAGTTGATTTTAACGATTGATCCATCTTTGTATCCTCATGTAGAGGATGGAAAAACTGCCCAAGAATTATGACGAATCTGCAAAGGCTTTATGATGAGAGTGGTTTTATGCGCAAAATTGGCTTTTTGCGAACGCTGATATCAGCCAGGCTTGAAAACCACAATAGCAATAAATAGCATGGAATCCTACATCAACCAAATTGTTGAAACGTCGCAGAAATTACGTCGGACTGGTTTCAAAATTGCCGAAGAGTGGGTGGGGTCGCTGCTGTTAGCAGGTCTCCCTGAAAAGTACGCCCTGATGATAATGGCGCTGGAGCACTCAGGTCTAAACATAACTACAGATTCCATAAAATCCAGGTTGCTTGACGATAAATGGCGGAAGAAGTGGCGAAAATGGTGCTTTTGCCGCGTACAGAAATTCAAGGGAAACTTTTGGGAAACCATTCAAAGATGGCGCTAGTAGGCCGAATTTCATCAAAGGAAAATCAGCTGGTTCTGCTGGTGGTGGCCATTATGATGGGGGTCAATCAAGTTCAAGCAACGCTTTTTATGACAACAAAAAGGCAAAGGATCTCAGCCTCGATCTCAGCACTCTTGTATGTTACAAATACAAAAAGAATGGATATTAAATGTCAAAATAACCCAACAGCAGTAAACAAGGAAGATTAAGTGCTGTTTTTACTACTCGAGATTTTAATGACACTGACTGGTATGTTGATAGTAGTGCAGGAGCGCATTTGACAGCTAGTAAACAATGGTTGAAAAATCAAAGGAATCCTGATTTTCCTGAGATTATAGTCGCAAACAAATCCAAAATTACTGTGAAATGTGCTGGTGATGTTGAAATAAAAACACTCACAGACAAGCAGCACAAAATATTGTTGAAAAGAGTCCAATATGTTCCAGGTTTGACAAGAAATCTATTATCTGTTTGTCAATTAATATGTAATGGAAATAGGGTATGTTTCCATGAAAGTGGTTGTGATATTTTCAATTCAGAAAATGTTTTAGTGGCAACAACAATGTTTTCAAATTGGACGTTTGTAAAGACCAATCGATATGTTTTCAGGCAGTGAGCAGTGTTGTTTGGCATCAACGTTTAGGCCATATTAATGATAGCTACCTAAATAAGACAGCCAAGCCGATAGATGGTCTTATGATGTGTAAAGCTGAGGCTACGATTAGAAATTGTGGAGTGTGTTGTGAAGGCAAGCAAGCTCGTTTGTCTTTTCCCAAGGAAGGTAGTCGTGCAAAGCAACTACTGGAGGTGATACATAGTTACATTTGTGGTCCGATGGAAACAAGATTTTTGGGCGGATCCAAGTATTTTTTGACATTCATAGACTACAGTCGAATGTGTTTCGTCTCTTTCTTAAAGACGAAGGATGAGGCATTAGGTAAGTTCAAAGATTTCGAAGTTTTATGTGAAAATCAGCAAAATGTCAAATTTAAAGTGCTGAGAACCGATAATGGAGGTGAATTTCGCAACAGAGATTTTGACAGAATGCTGGCATCATGCATCAGAACTCCAATAGCCATACCCCTCAGCAAAACGGAATTACTGAGCGCTTCAATCGCACTCTGGTCGAGAAGGCTGAGTGCCTTTTGTTTGATGAGGGCCTGAGCAAGTTTCTATGGGCTGAGCTTGTAAGACAAGCTACCTGAAAAATCGTTCAGCATCTTCAAAACTTATGAAAACTCCATATGAACTGTGGACTGGTAGAAAACCCAACCCAATATTCTTCGAGTATATGGAAGCGTAGCTATGGTCCATGTTCCAAAGGTTAGCAGGAAAATTTGGGGCTAAAAGTCAGTCAAGCCCTTGTTCGTTATGATGAGAATACAAAGGGTTATAAATGCTTCAATCCTGCGACAAGGAAAATTATAGTCAGTCGTGATGTGATTATCATGGAAAAGGCAAACATAGCACCACTCTACGCTGAGACCAAGACTGTTCAAGAAGAAGCACCAAGGAATGATTTGGATTCAGTGGCAGAAAAAAATGA